TATTTCTACGTAGAAGCACAAATAAAGATATTTTGATTCTCCTACTATCAATTATAAAATATTATTCGCCAGTGTAATAAAATTGTTATGTTTATCATCGTCGGGTTTTCTTTAAACATTTTCCTATACCAAGTTCTCAGACAAATAAACGTGATTAAACTTAAATAATGTATGTCACTAATAGCAGACAAACGATATTCGCAAATGCTATTACTTAATATAAATTAATATAATATAATAATTAATGTACACAAAAATTAATGTAACAATTTAATATAAATAATCAATTTCTGCTGAAAGTTCGATTCCTGTATGAATGATAAGCGAATACGGTGCAAATTATGTTAATGTACAAATTGTTAATATGTGTCGATCAGCCAAACATGGTAGCAAATGAAAGTCTCTTAACCATACTTAACATAATCTCCATCACGTGGAGGACGTGTTAATAAATATATCGTTGCAGCTACCAACGATACGACGCGACGAGGAAAGAATTTGTGAATCGGCGTACGGGATAGTCTATTCAAACGGGGAATGGACAATGTTGGCATGTAGGAAGCGATATGCAAATATCTACATGCGCTGACCCTAATCGGAGCCTGCTAATCTCGCCACGCGTGCCGAAGCCGCGTATCGAACTCGGCGAGATGGAGAAACTCAAATATTACCCGATTCACCTCCGCGTTCCGGGCAACGTGGATTCCATAATTACACAGTGCCCCGAAAACGCCCGATCCAAATACTATTTCACCAGGCAACGGTTTCTCAAGCAATTTTCAATATACAACGAGCTTCGTTATTATTTAAATGTAATTCGAATGCATAAATATGCAGCTCTGGGAAATCGTCCGATCGAAGTAGAGAAACGGAATACAGCTTTTGAAATCTCGTCACTTTTTCCGAAACGTACGACCACGAATCGTTTTTATTCCATTTCTCTACTAAATGTGCATCCGGCGTCACGACAATGCGGGCACAGGATTTCGGAAATGTATTGTCTTCAGAATATTACTGCGATGAACGTTTAAGTATGATTAATGACTGGGTAATGATTCGATAAATAGCATTAGTTAGTCGATGTCATCATGATGCAAATGCGTCGATACTATTCGCAATGTCTGTGCCCGAATTCATCCGCGGCAAGTTTTTTCGACATGTAATGTTGGTAATTTAATTGAGTTGGTATTGCAATTTCGCAAATTTGTTCTCCTATAAATCTGAAATTATTTTAGATTAATAAAGTATGTCTTCGAGGAAATATTAAATAATGCTCGACAGAGGATAAAAGCTACTAATGCTTCTGATGGCTGAAAACTTTATAAATTGTACATCTTTGAACAACTATAACTCCGTTGACAGCTATCATAAAATCATGATTCTTATTTTAACCCTAACGAGGTCTAGAAGCGACTAATAAAAATTGCCTCATGAGAATTACAAAATAAAATTTGTTCAAATTTTTCAGAATTCCTGTAACAGTGTGTGCCTGAATAAAGAAATATATTTCTAAATAAATTTCTAATGGAAGCAGTTTTATGATTTAATAAATGATTATGAAGTCAAAAATGTGAAACCGGTCATTTAACCGACGGTGGGTTGGTTGGG